TTTTCTTGAACAAATCTCTGGTTTTTCCCTTTCTATAATTTTCCTCTATTTCTTTGCACTGTTCATTTAAGAAGACCCTCTTGTCTCTCCTTGCTATTCTTTGGAAGTCTGCATTCAATTATCTATAACTTTCCTTATCTCCCTTGCATTTTGTTTCCCTTCTCTTCTCTGCTATTTGTAAGGCCTTATTGGACAGCCTCTTTGCTTTCTTGCATTTCCTTTTCTTTTGGATTTTTTTTGTTGTTGCTGCCTCTTGTACAATGTTCTGGGCCTCCATCCATAGTTCTTCTGCTACTCTGTCCACCAAATCTAGTTCCTTAAATCTGTTCTTCACTGCCACTGTGTATTCATAAGGGATTTGGTTTATATTATACCTATCCCAGTGGTTTTTCCTACTTTCTTCAGTTTAAGCTTGCATTTTGCTGTAAGAAGCTGATGATCAGAGCAACAATCAGCTCAAGGTCTTGTTTTTGCTGACTGTATAGAGCTTCTCCATCTTTGGCTGCAGAGAATATAATCAATCTGATTTTGGTACTGCCCATCTGGTGATGTCCATGTGTAGAGTCACCTCTTGTGTTGTTGGAAAAGAGTGTTTGTGATGACGAGCTGTTGTCTTGACAAAACTCTATTAGCCTTTGCCATGCTTCATTTTGAACTGCAAGGCCAAACTTATCTGCTGTTCTTTTTATCTCTTGACTCCCTACTTTAACATTCCAGTCCCCTATAATGAGAAGAACATCTTTATTTGGTGTCACTTCTAGAAGGTGTTGTAAGTCTTCATAGAATTGGTCAATTTCAGCCTCTTCAGCATTGGTGGTTGGTGCATAAACTTGGATTATTGTGATGTTGAAAGGTCTGCCTTGGATTCGTATTGAAATCATTCTATCATTTTGGAGACTGTATCCCAGTACAGCTTTTCCCACTCTTTTGTTGACTATGAGGGCTACTCCATTTCTTCTATGGGATTATTGCCCACAACAGTAGATATGATAATCGTATGAATTGAATTCACCCATTCCCATCCATTGTAGTTCACTGACACCCAGGATGTCAGTGTTTATTATTGCCATCTCCTGTTTGACCACATCCACCTTTCTAAGGTTCAGAGATCTTACATTCCAGGTTCCTGTGCAGTATTTTTCTTTGCAGCATCAGACTTTCCTTTCACTTCCAGGTGTGTCCACAACTGAGCAGCCTTTCGGCTTTGGCCCAACCACTTCATTAGCACTGGAGCTAATTGTCCTCGTCCTCCGTTCTTCCTCAGTAGCATGTTAGATGCCTTCCAACCTGAGGGGCTCATCTTCCAGCGTCATATTTTTTAGCCTTTTGTTTCTGTCCATGGAGTTTTCTTGGCAAAGATACTGGAGTGGCTTGCCAATTCCTGCTCCAGGTGGATCACATTTAGTCAGAACTCTCCACTATGACCTGTCCGTCTTGGGTATCCCTGCACAGCATAACCCATAGCTTCTCTGAATTATTCAAGCCCCCTTGCCACAACAAGGCAGCAATCCATAAAGGAGATAGCATACATACCTCACCAATATTTAACAGATACTTAAGTTTTTGGTTAAAATCTGTATCTGTTATATAACACCAGTCAATGTTTTTATTGATTGACTGTGCCTAGAAGATTAAATTATTTCTGCCTTCTCTCCAAATTTCATGAGAAATTTTAAATAAATATTTGATGCACTTTAGGGTTTTAAATCTTGAGTTAAGTCTTGGTGGTCCGTGGGAATGAAAAATACTGAAAGGGGGTTTGTGGTAAAGAAAAAGTTAAGGACTACTGCACTACATCATCATGACTTTCCACTGTTACTTAGGAAAAATCAGAGCCCCCATTGATACTGACACAGGCCATTACTAAAGATCTTGAAATACCGAGGAATAGAACAAATGATTGTGGTGGTTATTCCTCTTTAAATTGCAACTGAATAGTTTGGGAGACAGTGGCAAGATGATGGGAGAGAGATAGCTATGGGCCATGCAGCTGACATTGTGTCTTTCAGGGTAGTTGCTGCTTTTAGCTGCTGTGAACAACATTGTTCTAGTATTTTTATTGTAGTATTGGCCAATATTGGCTGCTAGTGCTTCTGTCATTTTTCTTGGGCAGTGGCATAATGCCAACTGTTCCCCCTGTTTTTGTTTTCTGGAAGGAAACTTTAGATGAGCAACTTGCCCATTTAACTGATCTGCAATGCGATTCAAGTGAGCAGCCATAGCCTTCATTGCTGATAATATTTGGATTCTGTCTGATCCTGAGGTATACCCTGTATCATAGGCAGCAATTTCGGATGGTCTCTGTTTTTAAAGCAAGCTTCAGGAATCAGAAACCATGACATGAAACTTACCTGGTGGCGTTATTACACCCTCTGCAAGTGCTTTTCTCATTGAAATTGAGATACTACAGTACCCAGATTAATTGATTCGATGTATTTAACAGCACCTTTTTGCATTCAGTACGGTATACAGTGGTGCCTCGCAAGACTAATGTAATTCGTTCCGTGAGTAGCGCTGTCTTGCGAAAAATCGTCTTGCGAAAAGCAGCTTCCCGTAGGAATGCATTGCAATGCATTCCTATGGGAACCTCGCAAGACGAATGAATTTTTTTCACCTTGCGAAGCATCGGTCTCGGGGGAAAAAAACGTCTTGTGAAACATGGCCATAGAAGAAGCTGTCTTACGAAGCACCATAGTGATCGAAAAAACCATTGTATTTTTTCGTGTATAAAACAACACTTTTTACTTAAATAATTAGACAGAAAATTGGGGGTCGTTTTATACATGGAAAGCAGCTGCTTTCCCTGTCTTTTGCAAAGCCACAGGGTAAAGCAGCCTTGAAAGGGTTGCAGGTCAAAGGGGTGCGAGCATACCACTCTTTCATGGCTGCGTTACCCAAGTGGGTAAAGCAGCCATGAAAGGGTGGCAGGATCGCTCCCCTTTGATCCTGAAGCAGCCATGAAAGGGCCTCAGGATCAAAGGATCATGCAAATGTTCAAATTTTCTAATTTGGGGGTTAGAAACGTAGAGGGTCATCTTATACATTTGGTCGTCTTATAAACAGAAAAATACGGTACTTAATTTTTAATGTACTTACCTTGATGTTATAATGGGCATATGGCAATTTTGTAACAGTTTAATAGTAATCAAAGCAACAAGGCCTGAACATAAATGCAAAGAGAAATGGAGTTTCTCTATTCAGCGGAGGGTGGGTGGGGGCAGCATTTACTTGTCTGTTTCCACCGCTACATTTACTTGTACAGTGGTGCCCCACTTGACGACGATAATCCGTTCTACAAAAATCGCTGTTAAGCGAAATCGTCAAGTGAAAAAAACCCATTGGAATGCATTGAAAACCGGTTAAAGCATCCAATGGAGAAATACCTCATTGTCCAGCGAAGATCGTCCATAGAGAACCGCCGATCAGCTGTTCAAAATTGCTGTCTTCCGAAGCAGGGGTCTGGAAAGCAGCCATTTTGCGAAGGGAAGCCATTTTGTGGAGGGAAGCCATTTTGAGGAACCGGAAAAATAATCGTTTAGCGAACAATCAGTTTGCGAAGCAGGCTCCTAATCAACGTAATGCGAAAAAACTCCATTGGAACCATTGTTTTGCGTTCGCAATAGTGATTACAAAAAATTCATCGTCAAGCGATTTTGTTGTCAAGCGGGGTCATCATCAAGCGGGGCACCACTGTACTGGTATTTTGGCTGAATTCATTGTAGAGTATAACTGAGTTTAGAATTTCTAATATGATGCTGGGAAATCTTGGACTTGATTCTTTTAATAACAAATAGCACAAACTTGAAATAACTATCTCTCATCAAAACTCTCAGGGATTACAGGGTTTTTTATGTTGATAAATGTTTTTTTTTCCTTACAGGTGCATCATGTTGTTATCTTGCAAAGAGTAACTTAATGTGCCGAGATGTTTGTGAGCAGGTAAGTGCATTTGATTCCGAATTTAGACTAAATTAAAAATTCAGGCATAATAAGAGCTTGATCTCCATAGATATATAATGTTTTTGAAATTATATTTTATTATCTCAACATTGAATTTTTAAGCAATTATTCAGTGTCCCCAAAATGTATTGTTATGCATATGTTTAAAGCTATGTTATGCCTTATTTTTAAGCCTGATTTTCTCTGAGTGAGAATTCTTTGTTTTAGATAC